ATAAATTTTTCATGCCTTATTTTTCTTAATTATTATTAAATTAAGATATAAAAAGGCCACCAGGTGGCTCAGCGATCAGCGTGCCTGATTACGAAGGCAATCCAATGGTTGTGGGTTCGAATCCTGCTCAGGGCATGGATGTTTCTCGCTGCGTCTTGTGCTCTGGTGTGTGATGTGTGAATGTGGTCCATCTCACGAACCCATCCATCTCACAGTGGGGTGTGGCAAATGTTACTCGCCTCCGTGAACTACGTTTACAGGTGTCCACTGTAAACCTACGTCACGGAGGTACCAAACGTCACGTAGGTATCAATACAAAATCTTTTAAATAGGTAACACTTTTGGCATCGTCCGTGACGAGGAACGAGAAGTTCAGTGTCTGCCGTTAGAAAAGTTATAAGAATATAAATAACTAGTGGGCTGCCCCCCCTGCTCACTAACGCTCGCCAACCCCCGAAAATTGCTACGCAATCTTGTATGGTTTGCTTCGTAAATCAAGCTCGCTTCGCTCAATTCTAACTTAGGTACATTGCAAATGCACAAAATTCTAAGAATTCAAAACAATCATTCAAATCCATATAAAAACTTTTTTTTAAAAAAAANGTTAAACCTATTAGAAATGTGCTATAGTATAATTCGTGATGTAAATCAAAAATCGTCAAATAAATTCGTAATATATAAATTCGTGAAAAAAAAAAACGCTTTCGACAAAATACTAAAATAGAGATCTATCGACAAAGACTACTCACTTCAGCCTAGCTTAATAGTATGAGATTGCCGCAGCTGATGCTCTCTGATTATTTCCGTTTTCAAAAGCGCTATATGTTGAGCCACCTCAGCTAGATTTGGCATGTGACATTGTTAGCGGCAATCATTGGTCGATTCGCCGTGTAAGAGAAATAGTAACGTAAACAAAACAAAGCAAATGTTGCCACCGGCGGAAAAGAAGTACAGCGAAAATTTGGGAGCTACGTAACAGAATTATATATATTAGATTAATCAAAGTATTTCATGAGATGAATCTTTTTAGAATAATCTGATTCTCGCAATTAGTTCTAAAGAGATATATGTACACTTTTGGAAAATTAAAGCGCGTTCATCAGATTATCGTTCAAATTTGTAGCAACCTTAATACCATGCTAAGTTGAACCATAATATCATATTTCTTAACGTGATTACACAGCATTGTGGTTAAAATTAAACAAAAATGTTGTTAAAATTATCTTATTAAGGTTTACATATAAGATTTTATTAAGATATTTAATAATCTTATTAAGATTACATCAAATTTTTACCGTATTAAGGTTCAACATTGAACAAATTTTTGCGAGAAAAATAACACGAGAAGATAGAATGTAAAAATCACTTTAGAAAATCCAAACTTTCTACACAGTTTGTTTAACTAAACAAGTGGAGTTTTACGTTTACCAAAATGCAATTACTGCCCATTTTTATACTGTTAATAATTCAAATCCTGCGTTAAAAATAGATTCTATTCATTTATTATTTATACTTCATATAAAATATCAAATTCTTCCTAATATCACGTCCTTGTTGATTACAAATGTTGCCAGACTCTATCAGGAGTTTCAATATTCTGTTGTTCTCAACTTTCCTTGATTTCTGACTCCGCTGTTCCATCATATCGTCGTAGTAACTTGAAATGAACATAATTTTTTTGAAAAATAAAACGAGACTTATTCAAACTTATAGCTCACATACAATTTATTAATAAACAAATGGAATCTACTTTTAACATCCTGTGCAAAAAAGACAAGCTAATATAGAGAAAGAAACGTATTTTTGTCCGAATAAAGTATTAATAATTATGCATAATTTAGGTGTATCTGTCGAACCATGAAAATTGCACCTTTGCACTCGGAACATTTTAACCGCCATAAAAATTTTACTTAATTATATTTCTCAAAACTATGTACTGATGCAAAATTAAATTTTTTTATGCAAATCAACAGATTATATGTGTTATGTATGTAAATCCTTTACACTATTTGTAGTAAATATTTATATTTTCAACAATTATTTTTCCTTGTTATTTATAAAAAAAAATGTTATGAGTATAATTCGAGCATTCTAAGAAAAACCTATACCAGTGCATTAAAGATCAACTTGGTTTATTTATCTTATCCAAGGATTTCTTCTGAAGTTTCTAGACAACAAAAACATTATTAGTTCTTTTTCTATAAAGGTGTATAATCGAATAAGGGGAATTATTAGATTTATGGAACACCACATTTTTTTCCTTATCGAACGTTGTTTTCTTTTGTCTGAATAGACTAGTAAAGATTTGTTGGGTAATATATGGTTTTTGTTAAGTCTTTGTAAGATATGATTTTGTAAATTATAATCCTTAAGATTATTCCAGTAAGTATTTCATTCACAGGTGTATTAACTTTTTTTTTAAAAAAAGAACAATGTTTAAGACTATTAAATAAATAATCTTCAGAAACTGAAGTGGTAAGATGAAAGTTATTAAAAAATTCATTTGCTTCAAAAGTATACAAATTGAAAATAATAGTCGAAATGTTTTAAGCTCTCAAAAATAGGTGGTCATTTTCAAGACTTGCCAGATGGGAATGAAAAGAAGCAAGAGTGATTTAATAAAATAGAACGCAAAATTTCCAACGAGGAAGTGAAAAATGAAAGTGAGAAATAAAACTAGAAAAGCTACAGTAGCCGAGAGAGGAAGAAAACCGAATACTCCATTTTGACCGAGAAAAGAAAATCAGGGTAAAATGTGTTTCCACGCGCTAAGAATAGGTAGCTAGGAACTAATGTCATAAACAAGAGAATCGGCATTCATATGAATAAAACAAAATTCCAGGGTAGCATTATTTTTGTATTGACGAAATTGAATTTATGCTCAAGATATTAACATTATGCAGCAATTGATGATTTTTCGGATCTTTTATAACGGGCATATCTATTGTGTTCCATAAGTCTAAATTTTAAAGTGCATCTAGATTTTACCCAAATTTGCCACTCTCGACCACAGTGGCTTGTCTTGTTCTATTTTCATCTTTTTTTTTCTCTTTCAGCTACTGTGGTTTGTCTAGTTTTGCTTATCCCATTTGTTTCTCCATTTTTCTTTGGTAACTTTGCGCACACGTCTACTGTTCTTTCCAATTTGTAAATTTCTGAAGCGAATAAAGAAATGTTTAAAGACTACTACCAAACATAAAGTAGTACTCAATTTACACTTTTTAACATAAAACACTAAGTGTTTAAGCACTCATTTAGAAAATTTAAAATAATAAAAATATGTTTTTCAAATTGAACATATTTTTTGTTAAATCATTTTGTAACCTAGCCTGAACCAAGAAGCCCACTCAGAAAAAATCTAAAGATTCGTGGTAACGAAACAACAAACAAGGTACAACCCAGTTATTCGGCAAAAACTATCCCAATAATGAAAAGAAAACTCCCTTTCTGTTATCCATTATTAGTTAATAACAATACCTCACATTATTGTTAATGTGAAGTACTTGATTTCAAGCAAAATCTGAATTTTTGTTTATAAAATTTTTAAGTAACTGAAAATAGTCAAATACATAATGTAAAAATGGATATAAATAAATAGGCACATGTCTTATATTTGTCCATATTGCTATCGATTGAGAAAAAGGATAAGTTTGATGCATAATTAGAGAAAGCGCAACTAGATCAAAATCATACAAGCGCAACTAGATCAAAATTATGAGCGCTTGGCGTAACACAATGTATTAAAGAGTAAGAATAGTTTATGAATGTTGAACCCTATATAATAAATTCGTTATAACTGAAGTTAGTCTTCCTAATTTTCCCCCTTATTTTCAAATCAAAGCTAGAATTATATAAGTTTTNGCATTGTGCGCTGACGATTATCCCAAACGCATTGCATTCTCACGCTGGTATTTGCAACAGCGGGTCGCACAGTCAGATTTTCCGTCATGGATTTTGTTTTCTGATGAATCTTGCTTTACACGGGATGGTGTCGTGAACCTGCACAACATGCACGTATGGGCGCATGAAAACCCAAGATGTACACGTGCCCATGCACATCAACAACGTTTCAGCGTAAACGTTTGGGTTAGCTGTTATTATCTGTGACATGTTGATTGACCCTTACCTTCTACCTGATCGCCTCGACGGAAATACCTATCGCATTTTTTAGAAAGAGTTTTGCCGTTCTGATGGGTGACGTTCCAGCCGCTACACGCCGAAACATCTGGTTTCAGCATTATGGAGCGCCTGCCCACTTTAGCTACGCTGTTCGAGAATACCTCAATAGGATTTATCCTAATCGCTGGATGGGTAGAGGCGGACCAGTCCCATGGCCGCCGCGATTCCCCGACCTGACTCCCTTGGATTTCTATTGATGCAGTGTGGCGAATGGAAGGAATTTTGAGCATTTGCTGTGATGTAATGATGTCTTATAATAAAAATCATATTAACACAGCTATCGATATCATTTTTTTTCTCCTCATCCAAACCTGCACTTATCGCCCTCTAGCGGTCTCAGTTTTAATTTTCGGACACAAGTTCCTATGTAAATCTTGTTCATCATGATATGAAAGACCAGCATGTTAAGTTTGTAAACGACCTTTTGGGACACCCTGTATAATAAATTCGTTATAACTGAAGTTAGTTTTCTTAATTTTCCCCCTTATTTTCAAATCAAAGCTAGAATTATATAAATTTTGCTCAATCTAATTTTTTTAGGTATTTACTTTCTTAATTATACCCCCCTTATTCTACAGAAAGTTACGCTGTAGTACAAGGAATAAAAAAGCCTAATAACAACAAACTTATAAATACATTAGACTGGCAATGCCGTTAATTTGCACTAAAATATGCCAAATTTTACATACCCCATTAATTAATTAAAGCTAATTTGCAATTTAAAATGCACTTTTTATTGTTATCTACTAATCTTAAATCATGTGAATAAAAATATTTCTTTCGTGATGAAAATTACTGATTCATGTTTACTTTTTTTTTAGGTTCTTCACAAATTATATCTCTGAAGACGGAAAGGAATTCCGGAAAAAAAGAATATTCTTTTTAAAAAACATGAAACTATACTTTTACGAGATCAGGTCATCGTCGTGGCCATCAATTTTGCTTTCAAAATCGACAGGCCATTATTTTAGGAAATGAACGATGTTGGAAAAAGATAAAAGGGACAGTGTTTCATCGACCGCTTCAATGCTCCTTGATCCACAAGGGAAGCCAAATCAATTACATATAAAATAAGAGGCGGGATAGCTCGTCAGTGAAAATAAATTGCTTTTATTTTTAGTTTATAATTATTTAGCTTTCCAAAAAAATTGAGGCTTTTTATTTGTTATCAGTTATTTTTAGTTTTTTTTTCTTCCAGAAAAATTCTAAGTAATTTTTGTTGTAGTTTTAATTAATTAATTATTTGTCAATAACATAAATTGAACGCTTATTTCCCTTAAATTTAATGAAATTTAAATTTTACGTTCGCTTAAAGAATTATACGAGAATAAAGAAATTTCAGATTTCAAAATCTAATATTGGGTAGAGAAATTTTAAAGGTCATAAGTATGCTAATTTCGTATTTAAAATAAATTATAATATTCATAAAAATTTCTTATGTTTAATTTTTTAATTTTATTTTGAGATGTTATTTTGTGGTCTTAAATTTATAAAATAAATTTAAATTCTCTGATAACCAATTTTCTTAATGCCATTTCAATTTTAATATTAGTGTAAAAATAAAGAGCATTTACAATAAAAATGCTCACAATAGATACACGTTTACTAAATATATTTTCTTCTATGTATTTAAGAGATTTAAACTTTAAATTTTGTAAAAATATGTATGAGATTAAAATCTAACATTAATAGTAATATGAATTTAACTATATCCAATACTCTAAGGTAGTGAAGATAGTAATAAATTTAATTCCGAAACCTTATTTATTTGAAAATGGTCATGACAAAGTACTTTATTTGGTTTTTATTTTTAGTTGCTTGCATGAAATTAGTTGAAGCTTCTAATTATTCTCAGTGCAAAGACGGGTTAATTTTGCCAAAATGGACACCGACAACAAATTTAAGTAAAGGTGATGTAGTAGCGAGAGGCATAATCTACTTCATAGCCTTAGTATACATATTCGTTGGGGTCTCAATCATAGCAGACCGGTTTATGGCAGCCATTGAAGTCATAACTTCAAAAGAAAAAGAAGTGGTCATTAAGAAGCCAAACGGAGAAACGCAAACCATCAGTGTACGTATTTGGAACGAAACCGTTTCAAACTTGACACTCATGGCACTCGGTTCATCAGCACCAGAGATATTACTTTCAGTTATTGAAGTTACAGGTCAAGGGTTCGAAGCTGGAGATTTAGGCCCAGGAACCATAGTGGGTAGTGCTGCCTTCAATATGTTTGTAATAATTGCAATCTGCGTTTGGTCCATTCCATGCAATGAGCACAGAAAGATAAAACATCTGAGGGTATTCTTTGTGACTATGACGTGGAGTGTTTTTGCCTATATATGGTTATACCTTATTCTTACCTGGTCTTCCTATGGAGTTATAGAAGTATGGGAGGGAATAGTGACCTTCCTGTTTTTTCCGACCACAGTTTTAACTGCTTACATAGCAGACCGTAGACTCCTCATCTACAAGTACCTCTCTAAGAAGTACAGAATGAATAAAAGAGGGGTTATTGTAGGAGGAGAAGGTGGGGAACCTGCTGGTGCAGTAGAAATGGGCACTCATGGTGTCAAAGCCAGCACCACCAATGGACTTAAAGTTTTTGACGAAGAAGAGAACGAAGAGGTTAAAGAGTTTGAAGAACATAGGCGAGAATATATACAGTTATTAAGAGATCTTAGGCATAAGAATCCTGAGAAAACGATGGAAGAACTAGAGCTGATGGCTCGAGAAGAAATCTTAGAAAAAGGACCAAAAAGTAGAGCTTTCTACCGTTTGCAAGCCACCAAAAAGCTAACCGGAGGAGGCAATCTCATAAAAAAGAAGCTGGAAAAGCCTGAACCAGAGAAAGAAGAATCCAAAGAAACTATTAAAGATGATGTATGTCGTATTTATTTTAACCCTGCGCACTACACAGTCATGGAAAGTGTTGGTCAATTCGCAGTGACGGTAGTAAGATCAGGGGATTTATTACATTCTGTGTGCGTTGATTTCGAAACAGAAGATGGCACTGCAGAGGCTGGATCAGATTATGAACCATTAGCGGGGACAATTATTTTTCGTCCTGGTGAGGCACAACAACAGATATTTATCACTGTCATCGACGATGATATTTTTGAAGAAGATGAACACTTTTATGTACGTCTTAGTAACCCAAGGTACTTAAATCAACCAGATGCCATCCCTATGAGAGCTATGAATGGTTCTCCAGGACAACTAGGTCCACCAAGGTTTCCAGTTGAATTGGCGACTCCTTGCATTGCAACCGTTATGATCCTAGATGACGATCACAGTGGAGTATTTGGATTCCAGGATGTGGCTCAAGAAGTGCCAGAATCGGTGGGAGAATTCAGGTTGAAAGTTTCTCGTTGCAGTGGAGCCAGAGGAAGGGTGATAATACCTTTCCGAACTCTGGAAGGCAGTGCTAAACACGGAAGAGACTACAAACATGTTGAAGGAATATTAGTTTTCGAAAACAACGAAAATGGGTAAGTGAAATTCAAAATTAGTTCTTTTCATAAAAATTTAAAGTAGCAAATAAGATTCTATTTTTTTTAAATATGGCACGAATCGAAAAAACGTATAACTTTTCCAAGTTTAATAACATTTTAAGATGTTATTGACATTTTAAGGGTTTTTCGGTTATAAATTTTTCGATTTAATTATTAATATGCCGCAACGTTTTGTGATCATTTAGGAAGACTTTATATTTATAAGATGTTGAACTCCACAGGATCCCACATTTCTATAAAAGAAACAGAATTTAAATTTATCGTTTATAATGCTGTGATTATCAATTAAGCATTGATGAAATCAAAGAGCGTAAAAGTCATTATCTCATTTTTTTATAGCCATGTTCTGTATGAAATTTTATAATTTTGATCATTACCAAGTAGAAAAAAAGAATTTTTTTCGAAAAAATTATAGTTAATAAATGTAAAACAATTTCCCTTTTTATAAAATTTTTGCATTAAAAAAAATCTGTGAACGACTTTGAAGCATTAAATTTTATTCTTCTGCAAAAATGTTAGAATAATGTAAAAATTCCAATAACGAGAAACGTATTTATGCAAAAAAAAAAAAAAAAAAAAGGGA